AAAAAAAAAAAAAGGACTTGTTAAGGAACAGTCAGCGGATTCTTGGACCACCCTCCTCATCTTCCTTAGGAGATGAGGCTTTTCAGAATTCACCCCAGACAGAGAAAGACCCACTTGTGGCTCTAGTCCTGTCACTGTTCTGCAACAAGTCTCCTAAAACCAGGGGCTTGCTGAGCATCGGCCCAGTGAAACGGGCGCCAAGGAGCAGTGTGTGTGGATTCGGATTCAGCGCAGACCACAAATATGGCCTGTGGCCAATGAGGAAGGTCAGAGCGACTGACTCAAAGGCTTCTGGTAGGTAGGCTGTTTCTTCCCCTCTGCACAGGTTACAAGGTGAGGAAGGGCCCCCTTCTTCCCAGGTGAACACTGATGTCCATCTACAGCACACAGAGCCCAACTGCTATTTGTGCAAAAAACCCGTGAGAACCGGGAATCCTTCCCACCCCGTCTTTGTGCTGAATAATATCGATTGGTAAATCACCATTTCCCCCATAGAGTACAAATGGGTGTTTGGAAAACTCCATCCCATGATTGAGGAGTCAAGGAGATGCACAGCTGAGGCTCCAAAAGCTGACGATTTGACCTCCCTGGGTTACACCCAGGCGAGAGTGGCTTCACCGCTCAAACCAGCGAGCCAAGTTGCGTACGCTCTTGGGCCGGTCCTCGGCGGTCTGCACAGCCTGGCAGACCCGGCACCAGGGCTCGTCCCAGAAGGAGGTGATGTGCACCGCGTAGCTCCTGCGCCAGTTGAAGTAGCGACGGTAGGCTGCCGGGTTTCGGTCGAGGAAGAGCAGGTAGGCCGCCAGGGAGGAGGCACTAGGGAAGTCATCCACGTGGATGAAGGCACCGCGGGGCACGAAGCGCTCATAATTGGCACGGTCGGGGCCCAGCACCACCGGCACGGCCCCGGCCAGCAACGCGTTGCGCCAAAGCTTCTCAGTGATGTAATCCAGGTGCTGCGAGTTCTCGAAGGCCAGGTAGAACTTGTAGCGGGCCACTGTGTGCAGGAGGCCAATGTTGGGCACCGGCCGCCCCAGCCCGTTCCTGCCGAACACGTCCACCGCCACGTGCTGGCTCAGCTGGCGGTAATAGCGCACCCGGGCCTGGCGCTCGTCCCAGTTGCTCACCACCCAGGCCACTAGCCCCCGTTTCCGGGCGAGCGGCGGGGCCAGGCCCAGCGGCGGGTCGCTGGGATGGGTCCTGGGGTAGAGGTAGCCGTAAGGCACGAACACGTCCGAGTCGGCCCGGTAGGAGAGGGTCCAGTTGAAGAGGTTACCTGCCAGGCTTCGCAAGCTCGGCGAGTGGGAGGGCGACTCGAAGTTCATCCACACCCAGCGCTGGCCCGGGGGCCTGAGGCCCGAGGTGGCCAGGGCTTCGGCCGCCGCCGCCTCCTCGTCGTCCAACACCTGCAACTCCAGCCCCTCGGCCCCGCGCACCTGGACGCCCCAGGGCGGGGGCCAGTCGGGGGGGCCCTTCACGAGGTCCCGGTGGTGGAAGAGCACCGCCTGGGCCTCCGCATAGGCCGCCCGGTCGGTGAGCAGGCGGCAGCCGCTGATGTTGAAGCGCAGCCTGCAGTCCGGCGGCCGCCTCGCGCCGCTGTCGCGCCCCGTGAAGGGTTCCCACCACAGCAGCACGCCCACCGGCCGCCGCGGGCCGAAGGACGGCCAGGGCAGCGGCGGCAGCTGCCTCCAGCAGGAGTAGGCGGCCAGAGCGGTGCACAGTAGGCCGGCAGCCGGCAGCCGCCAGCGCCGGGGCGTTCCACGGAAGCCCCCGGCATCCGCGCCGCCCGAAGCCCCGGCTGCCCGCCGGGCCCCACAGCGCCCCCATGGCGCGCGCAGGCACCGCCACCGCCTCTCGCCGCGCGTCCGCAGGCGTGGAGCAGCGGAGCGCGCTCTCATGCTGCCGCTGCGGCTCTAGCCGTCGTTGCCGCTCGCCGCTGGCCCTGGGGCGGAAGAAGTCGGTCCCGGAATCCCGAGGCTCGCGGGTCGGCCTCTCCTCCCTGCGAGTCCCCGCAGGGCGCGCCGCCCGGGCGAGGTGAGCTGGCCGGGCAGCCCAGCCCGGCGCCGCCCCGTCCCTCCCCGCC